GAGTAGCTGGGACTACAGGCATGTGCCACCATGCCCGGCTAATTTTTTCTATATGTATTTATAGCTGTCCAATTAATTTCTTTATATTTTTGGTAGAGCCGGGGTCTCGCTCTTGCTCAGGCTGGTCTCCAACTCCTGAGCTCAAACGATCCACCCTCCTCTGCCTCCCAGAGTGCTAGGATTACAGGCGTGAGCCACCGCGCCCAGCCCATTAGTAGTTTTTATTAGCTGGTATCAATCCCTGGGAGGAACAATAATTATTTTTGCTTTGTGAGTGGAACCTAGGGCCAGCGCCACGCGAAGTCCGCCCACGTGCTCTGGGCTACGACCGCGCGGACCCGCCGAGCGCGTTGCGCATGCGTGATGTCGCCTCGCCGGGCCTACGTGACGCGACACGAGGGGGCAATGGCGGATCTGTGCCTACCCGGCCCAGCGCCCCGGAACCGCCCCGGCTCGTCCCCGCGGGACAGGCCGCGCGCTCCCCAGCTCCCTCGTTAGTCGCCGCCGTCTGACCCGCGCAAAGTGACAACCGGCGCGAAGACCTGCCCCGGGCCCAGCGGAGCGGGACGGTAGCGCCAGGCCCGGCCGCGCTCCGCCCCGCGCACTTCGATTGGTTCCGGCGCCGGGCTCGCTTCTTCTCGGCGCTGTCATTGGCTTAGACAGAGCTGGTGGGCCGCACCGTTCTCTGCACGCTCTTATTGGCTTACGGGTGTGGCTTGCTCTATCCCGGCGCTCTCATTGGGCGATCTCAACAGTCGGGGGTGGGTCCGCGCCGGGGGCCCGGGGAGGACAACAAAGGGCGGTGGGCGGCGGGCCGCAGCGTCCGCGTCTTCCGGTGGTCTCGTCAGGCCCGGCGCCGGCGTCGCGCCCGCCCGCTCCAGATGAAGTGTGAGCACTGCACGCGGAAGGTGGGCGCCGCGCGGCGCGGGGCGGCCGGGGCCGAGGGTCGGCGTTCCCCCGGCGAGAAGCCCGGGGTTCCGGCGGAGGGGCGGGCCGCGAGGGGCAGGGCCGTTCCGGGCGAACCGGGCCGCGCGGCTCGGGCGGCGTCTGGGCTTCGCGTTTCGCACCGCGCCTGTTCCTTTTTCGTGCGCCCTCACGACGCCTCGGAAACCGAAACCTTTAGAAACACACGAAACACCTCCGTTACCGGGTCGGGCCGTCACAGTGCGCGGGAAACGCCGCTCTGACGCGAACTGGCTCCAGCAGCTTTCCTGCCAGCGGAGGGTCGGGGCGAGCAGGACGGGCCGCGGGGCCGCCGGCGGCCCCACGCCTGTTCCTGGACGTGGCAGCGCAGCCTTGCGAGGCACGCGTGGGCGCTCGTTCCTGCAGAAATTGAGGTATATCGTAAATACCGGTCTGTGGCTTGCTGGTTTTTACGTAACACTCTACGGGAGACATCTTTTCAGAGCATTTCCTAATGTTCTAGTTCATTCTTTGTAGTAGCTGCATCACATTCTAAGTAGCCCTGTGTCCAGGTAAGTCAGACGCCCGGTAACCTGTTGGTGGAAGGCCGCGCTGCTTTTAGCTTTCCGTTTCTGCAGACGGTAGCCTTGTAGACGTCTGTCTGTGTCCTTAGGCACGTATGCTTGTGTTTCTGTAGGACAGGTTTCTAGCCACGTGGTTAATTGGTCAGAGCATGTACAATTTTTTTTTTTTTTTGAGACAGAGTCTCACTCTATTGCCCGGGCTAGAGCGAGTGCCTTGGTGTCAGCCTAGCTCACAGCAACCTCAAACTCCTGGGCTCAGGCGATCCTCCTGCCTCAGCCTCCCGAGTAGCTGGGACTACAGGCACGCGCCACCATGCCCGGCTAGTTTTTTATATATATACTTTTTTAGTTGTCCAGATCATTTCTTTCTATTTTTTTTTTTAGTAGAGACGGGATCTCGCTTTTGCTCAGGCTGGTCTGGAACTCCTGACCTTGAGCGATCCGCCCGCCTCGGCCTCCCAGAGTGCTGGGATTACAGGCGTGAGCCACCGTGCCCGGCCTATGTACGTTTTTTAAATGGAGAGAGATTGAAAGTTGTTCTTTAATAATGTTTCCTTGTCTTTCTAAGGAATGTATTAAAAAAACAAAAACCGACGACCAAGAGAATGTGTCGGAGGAGGCACCGAGTCCGGCCCCGGCAAATGGAGAGGCAAGTAGACGCTTCAGTTTTGTATCAGCCTAGAGGAAACGGCCACTGCTGTCTTTTCTCTCTGGGGACTCTGGTCGCCGTGCATGCTAGTGCTCTGAGGAACACAGCAGGAAGCCCAAAGGGCTGAAGGTCGTGCGGGACCGTCCAGTGCCATCACAGGCCTGTCTCGGAACACACTGCGCCAAGGCACACTGCATTGGGAGCAAAGGAACAGTGGTGTGATACTCACACTTAAGCATGTAGTGGAAAGTTCCATTCTGTGAAATGGGGATTGAGATAGGTATCTTATATACTAACTCAAAATTTTATGATCCTGTAAGTTTATTTTCTAATTGTTTTTATTCTACTTCAGTTCTTGTTTTTAAATTCTCCTTAGCTAGTAGGGATGCTTTGTGTTTATTGGGTGTGTACTCTGAGTCTGGCGCTGATGAAAGTGCAGTGTCATTTTATGCTCAGAATGAGCATTTCAGAAAAGCCCTACCCTTATCCCCGTTTTTTTGTGTGTGTGTTTTTTTTTTTTTTTGAGACAGAGTCTCACTCTACTGCCCTGAGTAGAGTGCCGTGGCGTCATCCTAGCTCACAGCAACCTCAAACTCCTGGGCTCAGGCGATCCTCCTGCCTGAACCTCCCGAGTAGCTGGGACTACAGGCATGTGCCACCAGGCCCGGCTGATTTTTTTCTATATATTTTTAGTTGTCTAATTAATTTCTTTCTATTTTTAGTAGAGACGGGGTCTCGCTCTTGCTCAGGCTGGTTTCGAACTCCTGAGCTCAAACAATCCGCCCGCCTCGGCCTCCCAGAGTGCTAGGATTACAGGCGTGAGCCACCGCGCCCGGCCTGTTATCCCCATTTTACCAAGAAAAGGATGTGATGGGGAGAGGTTGAGGTCACTTCTTCCCTTAGAAAGCATTGGTACCAATTTTATAAGTGGAGAATTGCACCATGGGAGAGACAGGTAACAGATTTTCCCTTTAAGTTTAGTCGTCCTCATGTGCCGTTTGATGTAGCCGGTGCCCCCATGCGTCACCTCGGCTCTGGAGACTGTAGGCTTCAGGGAGCAGCAGGGGCTGAGACAAGCACCCGGAGAGCTGGCCACAGGCAGAAGAGAGGTGGGGAGCCCGAGAGCCAGTTGGGGCCCCTCCCACACTTGCCTTCTGGTTACATCACCCTGGACAGACACCTAAGCCCTGTGGGCCCGTTTCCTTATCAATGACAGGGAGAGTTGAGCCCTTCCCTCCCAGGGCTGTGGAGAGGACGAGATAACCAGTGTGCACAGCCCAAGCAGGCGCCCCGCCAGGGCGGTGGTTAGGGTGACAGGAGGTGGGGAAAGGTTAGTAGAGGGGGCCCTGAGGGGTGGTGGGAGTGTAGGGCTGGGGCACTGGCACACCAGGCACAGGGCGGGCGTGGACAGATGTGATCTGAGGAGGAGCAGTGGCTCTCGCTGGGGCGATGGCAGTGAAGAGCTGTGGAGGCTGTCTGGGTGTGGGGAAAGACTCAGGTGTGTGCTTTAGGGCCAGTGACAGAGGCAACAGACTTGAGCTGGCTGGAGTAGGGGGAGAATCGAAGGAAGCCACTTGGGAGGCAGCTGTGAGGGCCGGGGCAGAGGGTGACAGGGCCTGGGTGAGCCAGCCAGGTGTAGAAGCAGAAAAGAGGGCATGACACAGGTGAGTATAGTTTTAGCTCCGTGGACACTGAGCCTTCTGTAGGATGTTGGTCTGGAGTTTCGGCGAGGAGAGCCGGAAGCACGGCTAGCAGGGGCGGCAGGTGCTGCTCAGGAATAGTGAGGCTCATGGGCTGGATAAAAGGGAAGAGTGTTTCTTCAGAGAACGTCAGTTTAGGAGGCAGGAGGAAGCAGCGTGAGGGGCGGAAAGGAGCTGGACCTGGGCCTGAGCTGCGAAGACGTGCAGAAGGACTGGGCTGTGCACAGCATGCCCCACAGCGAGGCTGGGAAGAGGCACTGCTGGGCGAGGTGGTGCGGTGTGGTTGTGGGCAGCTTGATAGAGACAGAGGCGGAACTCTCAGTGCAGCTCCACAGTCTCTAGGAGGCACCACACCCGAGGAGTGGCAGCTCAACCCCGCCTGGGAGCCTGTTTGAAGTGCAGACTCTTGGGCCTTGTGCAGACCTTCTGTGTCCCCATCTGTAAGAGAACAAGATCCCAGGGAAAACAGCCTGCTCAGGGACATTGGGTCATGTCTGGGGGTGGGGGGAGACAGAGGTGACAGCCTGAGCTCCTGTTCTGAGTGCACTGTGGAAGGAAGGGGCATGTCCAGAGCTGTCTCCTGTCAAATCATGTATTAAAGAAAAACAAACACACAGACTGAGGAGTCTTCATAAATTTGTTGAAATGATTCTGGTAAGCTTCAGGATCTTGATAGTTTCATCCACCAGGTGTTTGTTTGCTGCACATCTTCTGTGTGCAGTACCTAGAGGGTGCTGGGGAGCAGATGGGAACAGGACAGAGTTCACAGCCTCGTGGTACTTACGCCGGGAGGGAGGGCGCAGACAGGCAAGGGGTGGTGCTTCTTTGGCAGGGGTGGGATATCTCTGCTGAGGGCACTCGAGGGGTGAGCCTGGGGCCCTCTGGGGTGGCAAGAACAGCAAGGACTGGTGTGGCTGCACGTGTGGGAACTAAGGAGGCAGTGAGGGGTGGGAGCAGAGTGGGGCACTGGCCAGGTTGAGGGGCTGCCATGTTGAGGGTTCCGAGCGGAGCGAAGATGTGGTTTGTATGTTAATGGGTCTCTGGGGGTGCAGGCCAGTCACGAAGGAGAGAGTGGGGGTTCAAGGCTGGATGCCAAGGTTCTGTAGTCTCAGTGGCCAGGTGAGCAGAGTCACTCTTGTTGACACGGGTGGGGCAGGGGCAGATTTGAGCATCCACATTTCAGTCTTGGGTGGTTTGAGGACCCTGTTGCACATCCCAGTGGAAACTGGGAGCCGGCAGTGGGCTGTAAAGTTCTGAGCCTCGAGGGAGAGGCAGGGCTGTGGGCACCACCTGTGAGGAGTGTGGGGCCGGGTGAGCTCTGGGCGTGGGGAGATAGAGGGACAGTCAGGGCCGAGTCACAGGCACTGAAGGGGTGGGTGGAGAGGGCCGGGTTCCACTCTTGATTGTCATCTGCATGACTTCCTGGTGTCTTCGTGGGCTGGGTCTCATGCTCTGGTTCCTCTGTCACCTGGAGCTGTTCAGAGGCAGATGCTGTCTCCCTCCAGCCCCTTGAGCAGCAGGCCTGGCCCCTGGTATTGTCTCCAGTGTTAGTGTGAGATTTGTATTGGCGTCACCTCCCTGTAGAAGCACACTGAAGAATGTTGAAGAATCATGCCCGCCATCTTTCTTTTGTAGAAGGGAGAATTCCATAAATTGGCCGATGCCAAGATATTTCTGAGTGACTGCCTGGCATGTGACAGCTGCCTGACTACAGAGGAGGGAGTCCAGCTTTCCCAGCAGAATGCCAAGGACTTCTTCCGTGTTCTGAACCTTAATAAGGTACGTCCATGGCACTTGCTGATTTCGGGGATCTGAACTAGGGGAGGCAGGTGGAGGTCCAGGTGAGGCCCGTGTTCCTCATGGGCATGGAAGCCTCTGCTCAGACGTCAGCACGACATTTCGCCCTTTCCGCTGCATCAGGACATCCTGCACAGTAGTTAACCTTCTCCCAAGCTCCTCCTTCAAGAACAAAATCCTGCAAAGATTCACGCTCCCTTGCCGACGCTCAGGCAGTGGTGGGGGCTGGCACCACCCATCAGGCTCCTGTGGCTTAAGGGGAGGCCTCCGCCTGGCGAGGACAAGTAGCGTGGCCCAGGTCACGTGGGTGGCACGGTGCCCCAGCTGTGGTGTTCTACCTCCAGAGCACATTTTCAGAGACGGGGGTGTGTTCTAATGGGCCAGGCGAAGACTCTTCAGGAAAGTGTCATCCGAGCCTTCTCCTTCCGGCAGGCCTGCTTCCGGCAGGTCCCTGCAGGCCTTCTGCAGGGAACCACCGGGTGTCACCTGTCTCAGTGAGACAGATGAAAGGGAAAGAAAGGAAAGACAAGGCAGGGGAGGCTGAAAAGCACTTCCTTTTCAGCCCTCTCCCCAACCCCCGTAGGAAGCGAGGGCATGGTGCTTTGCCCAGGCATCAGTGCCTGACCCCTGTGTCAGGTTCCACAGTTGGTGTGGGCACCTCAAGACGTTGGCTGATGGGAACGTCACAGCACAGGAAACAGAGCCAGGCAGCCTTCAGTGTTTGCTACTCACCCCGTGACGTCCTCCTGGACAAGTTTTCCAGCACCATTTGGGCTGCGGTTTGAGATAGAAATATGTGTCTTTCTGTTGTTAGCCTTAATTCTGTCTGGGGGCACCCTTCCTGGCATGCGGGTGCCTGGGGGGCCCATGAGCAAGCAGCAGGCTGCCCATTAGGATGGTCTGAACCAGGAGACACCGCCTCCCCCGGCAGCCCTGTCCCCATGCGCTCATCCTTGGCCTTTCAGGGGACAAAATGGCTTTAGCCATTTTACTGTGTTTAACAGACTTGAGTCCATCATGATACAGCTTGGTTTCCTCTGAGGCACTCTGCGGGACTACTAGCGCCTTTAACCCTGGAGCATCAGTAGTTTTTGCCAACATGCCCTGAAGGTGCCTTTGTCACTTTGTGCTCCCACAAGCGATACAGGCAGGTAGCTGTGTCTTGCTACCCTGATCACACTCCACACCAGATTCACAATTATTTCCCAATCCAGTGGGTAGAAAATGATCTCAATTGTATTTTCCTGCTTATTAGAGAGTTGGAGATCTTAGATAATGTTTATTGACAATTTATGTTACATCTTATGCTGCTTGTCCAGTCTACAGTTTATGTTTTAGTGTGGTGTGAGATTTGAATACGGTCCTTTCCGTTTGAACAAGCCAGTTGTTCCAGCATCTTCCATTCTTTCTTCATCGATAGAACAGTTTGAGGATGGGAATTGTTCACTCCTTAAAAATTTGCCACTAAAATGTTCTGGGCCTGATGACTTTAGAAGGCATCTCTCTGGACTATTTTAGAGTGTATTCTTATCATTATCATTGGGTCATTTCCTCCAGTTATTTACGTTTACTAATATAATGTTCTTAAAATTGACAAAATTGTCTTAGATCTAGTCTTGTCTCTTTTGAGATGGAGTCTCTGTATTGTCCTGCTTGGAGTGCGGTGACTATTCACAGGCACGATCACAGCTCACTGCAGCACTGAACTCCTGGGCTCAAGTGATCCTCCTGCCTCAGCCTCCCGAGTAGCTGGGACTACAGGTGTCACCACCATGCCCAGCTCATGTCTCATTTTTTAATCCTGATTTTTTTCTCCTTTTTCCTCAGTTACGTTTGCCAGTGTTTGTGTGGTTTATCAGTCTCTGCATAGAACATCTATTACATTGTTCTGAGTTTCTCATTAAGGTGTCTAACTCTTACTCCATGTATAATCAGCATATATAACATTGTTTTGTTTTTCCTTGTAGAAATGTGATACCTCAAAGCACAAAGTGCTGGTAGTGTCTGTGTGTCCTCAATCTTTGCCTTATTTTGCTGCTAAATTCAATCTCAGTGTAACTGATGCATCCAGAAGGCTCTGTGGCTTCCTCAAAAGTCTTGGTAAGTTGCCTTTTGATAAATTAGTGGATTTATAACTTGAGTTTGTAAGTGCCCTTTTTATCTCTAAAGTTCAATTTTAAGGGTTCAGGATAAACTCCCAGAAGAGTCTCATGGAACATAAAAGGACCTTGCCCCTTATGTCGGGAAACCCAGCCTCTGATCAGTGGTAGGCGAATGTCACTTTCCCCTTGCCGTGCACAGACAGGTGTTTTACAGCTCGGGCTGACCCCTTGACCCCTTCGGGAGCAGGAAGTGACCACCTGCTGACAGTGTGGACAGGGACACTGGGAGGCTCCCACGGTGGCCCAGCAGCCTCCAGGTGGTGCCCAGCTCACAGAGGGCATTTACTTGACAGAGAGTTACTTCTGAAATACCTGGTGTTCGGTTTCCTGAGAAGGTTTCTAAAGAACAGAGCAGGAAGGAAATGGCTCATTTTCTTGATGTGCGGCACGAAAGGTGGTGATTTAAGAATATAATCAAAGAACTCAAATGTCAGCACTGGAATAATGCTGCCTAAAATATTGGTGAAAAATGCTACTGTACCTTCTGCTTTTGTCAGGTGGGTACTGCCCCCTAGTTTGGCCAAGATGCCTGTTTGCTCACCGTGGTGTTTTATGGCCCCTGGGCACCCTCCTAGCGTGGCAGTCAACACGCATGCTCAGAAAAGGGGAGTGTAAGCGAGTTGCCAAGTAAGAGTTTTTATTAGTCCACAACGCATTTTTAAAGCTGTGACTATGCTGGGAATTACTAATGACACCTGGAATAAGCATCGTCAGGACAGTCTTTCAGTCCGAGAAACAGTCTGTGGCCTTTTGCTCCTGGACACTCTCGGTGAGTGGCAGTTTAGCAGAGCCAGGTCGATCTGCACATAACATGTTACAGCAAGAACTAAGTCGCAGCTACAAATGCGATCTTGTTAAACCATTCGTCCTACTTGTAAACTTAAAACGGCTCAGGTAAGGTTAATTTTACCAAAGATCAAAGTTGTTGAGTGCTATATTTTCTCATGGTGAAAGGCCTTATTTGGGGGTAGTTTTTTTTGTAGATATATAACTGAATGTTGCATATTAATGAAGAAAATATATGCACAATGAAACATATCTTAAGGTAATACTTTAAATTTTGTGCCATTTCTTTTTAAAAATAACTGGCTGCTTTTTTTTTTTTTTTT